TAAAAACATGCAATTTTCTAAATCAGAGAATCTGATTTAGATTCAGGAAAAATCAGAGAATCTGAATAGACAGGTTACACATAATGAAATTGAAGCAGTAATAAAAAAAACTCCCAACAAACAAAAGCCCTGGACTGGATGGCTTCACTGGTGAATTTTACCAAACATCCTGAGAAGATCTAATACTCCTTCTCAGACTATTTCAAAAAATTCAAGAGGATGGAAGGCTCCCAAGCCTCATTTTATGAGGCCAGCATTATCCTAATTACAAAACAAGGTAAAGACAATCCAAAAAAAGAAAATTATAGGCAAGTATCTCTGATGAACATAGACATAAAATATTCAACAAAATATTAGCAAACCTAATACAGCAATGCATCAAAAAGATCATACCATGATCAAGTGAGATTTATTCCAGGAATGCAAGGTTGGTACAACATTCACAAATCAACAAATGTGATTCAGCACATAAACAGAATGAAGGATAAAAACCACACGATTGTATCAACAGATGCAGAAAAAGCACTTGATAAAATCCAACACCCATTTACGATTAAAAAAACACTCAGAAAAGTATGAATAGAGGGAGCATACCTAAATATAATATAGGTCATACATGACAAATGCACTGCCAGCATCATATTCAATGGGCAAAAACCACAAGCATTTCCATTAATATTGAGAACAAGATAGGGATGTTTTCTTTCACCTCTTTTATTCAACACAGTACAGGAAGTCCTAGCCATAGTAATCAAACAAGAAGAAGAAATAAAAGGCATCCATATTGGAAAGGAAGAAGTCAAACTGTCTTTTTTGCAGATGACAGGATACTGTACATAAAGAAACCTAAAGATCCCATGAAGAAACTACTAGAACTAATAAATGAATTCAGTAAAGTAGCAGGATATAAAATTAATATCCAGAAATCAGTTTTGTTTTTTATATTCCAGTTATGAACTAACAGAAAGGGACATTTTTAAATATCCCATTCACAATTGCTTCAAAAGGAATAAAATACCTAAGAATAAACCTAACCAAGGATATAAAAGACCTGTACTTGGAGAATTTTAGGACACTGAAGGAAGAAACTGAAGAAGATACAAATTAAGTAGAAGCACACACCGTGTATTCATGGATAGAAAGAATTAACATCATTAAAATGTCCATGCTACCCAAAGCAATCCATAGATTAAATGCAATTCCTATCAAGATTCCAATGACATATTTCACAAAACTAGAACAAATATTTCAAAAATTTATGTGGAACCACAGAAGGTTCTGCATAGCAACAGTGAACCTGAGAAAGGAGATCAAAGTTGAAGGGCTCATGGTACCTAATATGAAACTACACTATAAGGTTATAGCAATCAAAACAGCATGGCACTGGCACAAAAACAGATAGATCAATGGAACAGAATAGAGAGCTCAGATATAAACTCACACCTTGATAGTCAATTAATATTTGACAGAGGAAGTAAGCACATACAATGGACTAAAAATAGTTTATTCAATAAATAGTGTTGGGAAAATTGAACAGATACATGCAGAAAAATGAAACTAGATGACCTTATCACACACACACAAGAATAAACTCAAAATAGATTAAAGACTTAAATATTAGACATGAAATCATAAAAATTATAGACGAAAACTTGGCAAAACCTCAGACATTGCTCATAGCAATATTTTATTGGATATATCTCCCCAGGCAAGGGAAAAAAAAGGAAAAATAAACAAATAGGACTACATCAAACTAAACAGCTTTTGCACAGTAAAGGAAATCATCAACAAAATAAAAAGACAACTCACTGAATGGGAGAACATATTGACTAATTTTACATCTGAGAATGGGTTAATATCCAAAATTTATAAAAAACTTAACAAAACTCAACATTAAAAAAATCCAATTAAAAAATGGGCAAAGGACCTGAATAGATACTTCTCTTAAAAGGACATACAGATGCCAATTGCCATATGAAAAGATGCTCAACATCACTAATCAGAGAAATGCAAATTTAAATCACCATGAGATATCACCTCACACTGTCAGAATAGCTATTATCAATAAATCAACAAACAAAAAATGCTGGCAAGGATGTGGTAAAGGGGAACACTTTTGCACTGTTAGTAGGAAAGCAGAATGGAGATACCTCAAAAAGTTAAAAATGTATTTGCCTTTTGGCCAAGCTATCCCACTTCTGGGAATATATCCATAGGAAACCAAAACACTAGTTAAAAAAAACATAAGCACCCTTGTGTTCATTGCAACAATGTTTACAATTGCCAAAATATGGAAGCAACCCAAAGGTCCATCAGGAGATGAGTGGATAAAACAACTATGGGGCATTTATATAATAGAATACTACTTGGCTGTAAAAAGAAGAAAATTTTACTCTTTGTGATAATATGGATGGATATGAAGAACATCATGCTAACTGAAATAAGCCAGTCAGAGAAAGACAAATACTGTATGATTTCATTCATACGTGGAATCTAAAGAACAAACTGAACTAACAAGCAAAACAGAGACAGGATCAATCACAGATAGAGAGGTGGATGACAGCTAAAGTGAGGGGGGTTTAGCGGGGTAGAGGGATTGAGCAGAAAGGAAACAAGGTTCATGGACATGGACAACAGCGTGGGGGAAGTGGCATATAAGGGTACTAAATGGTAATGGGAAACTACAATAAAAAAATAAAAAATAAAAAGAAATAAATGGAAAAAACAGTTTAGAATAGACATAGAGACAGATAAATGGACTAAAGGAGTGGAATGGAGAACCTTTGAACAACCCTCATATAAAAGGGTTTTTATATTTATTAGAAGTGGCTTTACAAATCAGAGGGTATACTGTGAAATGGAGAGTGTTTGGTAAACTTGAGTATCCACATGGAGACAGATAAATTAGATTCCCAGTTCTACAAATGGTGTTACAAAGGGGTTAAGGATATAAATGTGAAGAGCAAAATATTATAAACTTTTAGAAGAATACATGAGAGGATATCTCTATCACTTTAAGGCTAAGGAAGGATTTGCTAAATAATATAAATAAGCACAAAACATTAAGGAAGAGACTGGTAAGTTTAAACAAATTTAAACTAACAAACTTTTTTATGATGGGGCAACAAAAACAAAGCGAGAAGACCAAAGACTAAAAAAAGACATTAGTATGAATTGTTACAGGGTCTTCTTTAAGAAGATCAAAAACATGAAGAATACAATGACAATAAAAGCATATCTACCAATAATTAAATCTAAAAAACAAAATAAACAAATAGGCAAAACAGAAACGGACTCATGGATATAGAGAACATTTTGATGTTTGCCAGTTGGGAGGGGGGTTGGGGGGATGGATAAAAAAGTGAAGGGATTTAGAAGTACAAATTGGTAGTTACAGAATCGTCACAGGAATGCAAAGCACAGCATAGGGAATAGAGTAGCCAAAGAACTTATATGCAGGACCCATGGACACCAACAATGGCGTGTGGATTGCCTGAGGGAGTGAGGAGCTAGGTGGAGGGGGAGAAAGGGGGGAAATTTGGGGCAACTGTAATAGCATAAACAATAAAATATATTTAAAAAATAAAATAAAATAAAGACATTTGTAATCTTACAACAAGATTAATATCCAGAATATATAAAGAGCTATAACAAATCAATAAGAAAAAGCCAACAATTCAATAAAAAATAAGCAAAGGCCATGAAATAACAAATTATAAGGGGAAAACCTGAATGCTTAGTAAACACAAGATGCAAAATCACATAAACTGTCAGGGAAATATAAGTCAAAAATGAAATATCATTTCACAGTCATCCTATTTGCCAATTAATATCTGTTAACACCAAGTGCCAGTGGAGATATAAACTAATACAAAGAGTTTGGAAAGCAATTTGGAAATTTGACCAGAGGTGAAGAGATGTGTACCCCATGTGCCATCAATTTCTACTCTAGAGAAACTCATACATGTCTGCTCAATGGGGCGCATACATGGATGTTCCTTGCAGAGGTGTTTGTAAGTAGCAAAACCTGAAAACCTGTTTTCAAGTACGGGAATAGATAAATTGTGGTTTATTCATACAATGTAATACTATACAGCAGCAGCTGACAATGAATAAACTTATACATGGGCATTATATTAAAGCATAGAACAATAGAATAATAAAAACATATATAGAATTTGTACATATGTATGTTATAAGAGTACTCAAGGAATGGTTATTTTGAAGGGTGGGCATAGGGCTTAAACTCTGTTAACATTTTATTCTTTAAAGGGAGGGAAGCATGGAAGAATAGAGGGGTAAAGAGAGGGAAAGAAAGGGGATTAATCCAGGTAAAGCAGTATGATTAAATGTCAGTGTACCAGGGTGTACAAGGGTAGTCAGGTAGACAAGGGTTGCACAGGTCTCTGTTAAGTTATTTTCTATTCTTGTCTAGATGATGTTTTCAAATTATATTTACATAATTTAAAAATTAACATCACTATCCCCAAACAAAACAAAACAAAACCTATCCACTTCTCATGTCCATGTCATTAAACCACTTTAAGATTTCCTAAAACTCTCCTTGTCCCCAAAGACGGCACTTGTTTCCCAAAGGTGAGGCTTTTTACCGAGGCCACCTACTATGACTGAGCTGTCTTCTTTACCTTCCTCAGATTCTCCACTTTTCAATGTTCTAAAGGTTAGTGTTTACCTTTTAAAAAATCCTTTCACTTAGGTTTAGGGCAGCAGTTTAATCTTGCAACCCCCCCCTCCCCGCCCCATTCTCTGAACATTAACCTTTTTTTAGTCTCCATCACAAGACGCATTTTTCAATGGATGGAATAGGATTATATTCAGTATGTTTTTGCTTGTGGGTTTCAGTGTTGAAAGTTTAAATTCCAAAAGAAGATAAAAAAATATACACACAAAACAACATACTTGGATATGAACATTGAGGAAGGCAGACAGCATCTTTATAATTTCGGCAATTTGCTGTACCACATGCAAGTTAAACCTACCTTTAAGATAAGTTAATTCAGCAGCGCTGCTGATGCTCAGTAAGTCAGCTCCTTGATTCTTACATGAAACATAAGCTTCTTTCCAAAAAAGAGCTGCCTGGGTATTAAATTGGTAGCAAATTCCCGTCTGCTCATTCTTTTCCCAATTATCTTCACAGCCATTTTCTGTTGATAAAAAGATACGTTAGTGATTATAAAGTAAGGGCATAATGTTTTCTATTACTTAGAATGCTTATAAATACTGCAATTCAATTTGCACACTCCTAGAATATGCTTAAATTGGGGCTTATTTGCTTAACAAGACCACATTTTGATTTTTTTGGTTACAGAGAGAATTTGAAGTCACAGGACACCAAATGACTTGAGCTTATCAAAGCTTCCACTCTCCTATCATCCACCCTCCCTTTCTCTCCCATCAGTTACAACGCCGTATTTTATCCCATGCATGCCCTAAGAGTAGGAGACTTCAACTGTGCTCACTCTGGTAAGCCCCTGAGTTAATGGAAAACAAGCTCACTTGAAGATGGTGCCTGACTGCAGAGGGGTTTGCCCATGGCCTGCAGTGAAACCATTGTATGTGTATGTCTCTGTGCAGACATGCTGCTTAAATGCTCAAGATTTAGAGCTCAAGTGACTATATTATTTGGGTAACTTGGTCCAAGTTTCTCCTTAATATTCTAATAGATAATTTAATACGTGGCTTATAATTAATATTACATAATTATCATTATATATGTATACATATATATGTTCATTACATAATGTACATATTATTTTCTTTAACAAATATTTAAAAAGTATATATCATTTTATATATGGCAAAAACTTTCAAGCTATTTTCTAGACAAGACATATAATTCTTGATACAACTGGTTCAAAAATATACCCAAAGATTCCCCTGTGCCCTTTACAAGAGGAAAAAACCAATGCAGGCTCCAGCAAATGTGTCCCAGACTTCACTCTGGGGGTTTCTGAAGGGCCTTTCCATAGCCAGTTGCACATATCACATGGCCTTTCAAGCTGGGCAGGCCCTTCTTGGCTAGGGTCTAGAGGTGTTTGTGGAAGAGCCAGAATGAGAGCTCCCGTCTCCGAATCTGGCCATTGATCTTCTCGATGGGTAACACTGCTCCTTCAGCCACTTCTGGATGGTCTAAATAGCAACAGAGGTTGCCGTGCCATGTGGTGAAAACAAACTAGGTGGATTTATAAATATACTACCCAAGGGCTCCTTATCACCACAGAGGCCCTATGCCTATAAATCCAGAAGCTCCCAGTGGAATAGGGGTGTGTTTACCATAATAGAAAATCTCGATGGTTTAGCAGTGCTTGGGTTTTAGAAACTCAGTCTTGCTCCTTCCTTAAGAATAACTCTGGAAAACATGAATGCATTAAAAATCTACCTGCTGCCACCCAAAGGATGCTAAAGGCATTAAGACACATGCCAGTCAAGGCAGCAAGGCAGAGTGGAATAAATACAGTGGGGAATAAGGGTCAGGGATCCTGGGGTCTCCACCAGACTCTCCATGAGTGGGGTCTCACTCTGACTGGGTTTGTTGTCCCTCACCGGAGAAGTGAGGGTTTGTGCTGGACAATCTCTAAGCTCCCTTTCACATCTAAACTTTCTGATCCAGACTACTGTCATATCTAAATGAAATTGGTGCCTGGACCAAACTCTGCTTATCAATTACAGCAGAAGCAAATACACTACTGGTTTTTCACCTTTCAGGTGTTTCAGGTCCCAGGTGTTTAAAAGCCTGTGCTTCTGCCTAGAAAGGGGATTATCAAAGTGTGGTCCCAGACCAGCATCATTAGCACTGTCTGGGAACTCATTAAACTGCAAATCCTCGGGCCACACTCTAAATCTATAGAATTATCGTTTCTGGGGGTGGGCCATAGAAATCTGTGTTCTAACAAACTGTCCAAGAGATTATATTGCCTCCTGAAGTTTGAGGACCATTGGCTGGATATAACCTCAAGTCATTTAGAGCTCTGCATTTTGAAGTTCAGCTTCTCTCAAAGAGGGATCAGCATTACTGGATCACCAGGTTGGCTGCTGAGTAAGGCAGGACAGTACATTTGTTTAGGACGGGACTTCCGGGTTGGATTTCCTGGCTTTAAATTTTAACTCTGAAATTTATTAGCTGTGTGACCTTAGGCACGTGATTTCACTCCTCTGTGCCTCACTTCGCTCATCTGTAAAATGGGGTTGTGTGAGGACTGCAGGAGTTAATCCAGGTTGAGTGCTTAGAGTAGTGTCTAACACTTAGGGCCTTATAGGTATTAAGTATTATTACTTAGGTCTAGAGCTGTTCTCTTTTTCTTTCCTACGGATTCTTCCAACCTACTGCCCTTTAAAAATATTTGAGTACCTACTACATGTCAGGTACTGGTAGACCCTGTAACTGTCACCTAATTTATAAGAAAATCTGTCTGTTATATATCAGATAATGATGCAAGCTGCTACTTTGGTCTCTCTCTCTCCCCCCCTCCCTCTCCCTCTGTAAGAACCAGTCATTTTTTTGGTATATCCTGAATTGTTTGTGTCAAGTAAGAAGCAAGTAGAAAAAAATGCTCTGATCAATGAATAGGAATAACAGAGGGAACAATGCACCAATTTTGAGAGTTTCAGGGATATATCTCTTTTGACCCCTACTCTTTGCTTCAGACCATAAACATACTTAAGTGTCCACCATCCTAAAAGTGTTTCCTCAACTTATCTCTCCCTTGGACCACCCTTTTCCCTCTCTTTTTTCTTCTCCATAAAACTTAAAAGGCTTACTCACCTTCTGTTCATGCTTCAGTCCATTATAACCCAGCTTCTATAACAGAGTCTTTGGAAACTACTCTGTTAAAGGTTTGCAGCAATTTCCTAACTGCCCATGTATTTTCTACTCCTACTCTGTGAGGGATCTGTGCTAAAGAACACTCTTGTTTGTCTTCTATGACACCATTCTGTCTTTGTTCTCTTCCCAGCCTACTTCTTAAAGTAGGCTCATAGCCACACATTAGTTCTCCCTCATCCCTCAAATATATACTCCTTGGCTAAGATAATATTTGTTGCAGCCATTTTTAAATCATCATGGACTCTCCCTACTCGCTTTTGCCTCTTGGAAACGATATCCTTTTCTTTCTATATATAAACTTTACTAGCCCATACATACCTGGGTTTAAGCAGATACCCCACTTCAGGTCATATTCATAATTTAAGGTGGTCGCACACCATGGCTCACTGTGATTTTTGTCAGTGATGCACTCATGATGCCAGGTCCCACCAACCAAGAATGGAAATTCACAAGGTCTCCCATAGGAGTTCCCATCTCTGGTATATATCTCTGTGGGTCGGGTGGAAACAAAAGAAAGGAGAGTTAATAACTGAATGATCAGCTTCAGTTAACTAGTTTCTAAAAACCTGCTTTGAAAAAAGAGAGCTGTTTTCCCTTATGAGAATACAGTATTTGGACAAGCTGCATGGTGTGGAAATTCAGAGCACAAATGCGTTCTGCGCAGGTCTGGGCTTGAATGCCGGCTCCCCCACTGACCAACTGTGTGGCTGGGAACGTGAGGATTCGATGAGATGACACACATGTAACGCCATTTACTGTGATATGATGAACAGCTAAAAGTCCATGGCTTGATCCAGGAAGGGTCAATTGACTGCTGTGTTTGGCAGAGTATTTCACCAGAAGGGATGCCCTGCCTGAGCTTAAATGTACGCTCTATCTTCTTTTATTTAGTAAGAGGGGGATCAGAAAAAGTCAGTGGAGGTGGCTATGGAATTGGAACCAACTGCGGAGTTAAACAGATGGACAAATTGCTCTGTTCTTCACAGACGAGTGGTAGAATTGAGGCTGTGGGTTTTGAGGAAGAGGGAGGAAGAGCTGCTGGATCTCAGAGTGGGTTTTTGGAGAGGGGAAGGACGCAGTAATTCTGATTATGAAAGAAGAACCAGCTTCAACTGAGCGATCACAGGATCAACCGGTGACCTCTGAGGCTGCAGAACTAGTTTTTTTTTTTTCATTTTAATAATTTCCACTGGAACACGGACAGAGAAGAACTGAAAAGTTATTCTAACCTATTCTAAAAACTATTCCAAATATTCCTGGAAATACTACAGGGAGTGCTCAGTACTTAAGTTGATAACAGATCTCTTGGAAAGGTGTTTTTATAGAACAGTTAACCCTGTAACTATTTCAGTCACTTTTTTTCCATATGTGTAATTTCTTTAAAACTATGGTCATTACCAGATTAAATAATGACCATTAAGTAAAGTGTAGAAATTAGATCTAATAACCCTTTACCAGGCTATTAGGTTCCCTCAGAATGTCTCATATATTTGCATAAAACTATACTTAATATTTGACTCCACATCCTTTATTATTTTCAAATGTTCATTTAACTGAAGTGTGAGACTTAACGGTTCATAATGTATTAACCAGCAATATAACAAAAGGTAAAAATAATTTAAATGTTTTTATTTGCAAAATAAAAATAATTTAAATGTTTTTATTGGCAAAAAAAAAAATCTTTTAAGGGACATTGGTTTTGTTTTCCCTTGACATATTAATGGTTCTGAATAGGACATTTCTGTTAAAAAGTAAATTGTCTTTATATTTTATAAGGATTCTGCTTATTGCCTAAGTTTAGTTTTTAACCATACCAAGACTCCCTAAAGTTCATTACCAATTTCTCTTCTTAAATTACAACACTTAGCAGGAGAGTCCCTGAGCACAATGACTATTACTGTTAGAAACATCCGTTTTTTTCTTCCTAAATTCTTGTGTTTCTCATATCAAGTGCTTTCACATGCATTTCTTTCACTTGCTCTTTACTATAAGCCTCTGAGTTTGGTAGGGCAAGTACTACACTGGTTTGTGAAATCCCCAGTTTACAGAGCAGTTAAGCGGGTCTTTCAGTCACTCAGTTCAAAGTGAGAGGAACGTGCTCTTTACTTAGAATCCTTGACATATAAGGACAACTTGTGACCTCAATGGCTGCCTTCTCAGATTTTCCTGAGAAGAATCTTCCCTGAACGTGTGGACTTATGAGGATACAGCCTTTAAAAAGATGTGACACTTACATGGAAAACTAATATAAATTTTCTTTGATAATCTTAGACAAAATATCTTCAATGGTTAAAAAAGTTGGCAGGCTTCTGAACTGCTCAAGATTCGGAGAGCTCTATAGTCAGGACTCCACTACAAGTCCATTTGCTCTGCATAATTCACCAAATGTTCAAAATGTGAGGAGTGCTAGCAAGGCCAAGATAACTTAATGAAATAAATGCATATCTGGATGCTAGTCAAAGCAGTTTATTCTTAAAATGTCGAGAACTAAAGTTTCCCCTGATAAATATGACTTACACAGGGTGGGGGTTGGAGAGAGAGGCAACCCAGAACAAAACAGCAAATAAATGTTCTTATATTAGAAGTAAAAAAAAAAAAGGAAAAAAGATAAAGCAAAAGCCATGGGAGAAATAAAGTAGCTCTGTTTGGGGAATACAATTCTGGCTTTGAGCTGTAGCTTTGCTGCAACAAGATTAGTTAACTTTGGACTTCACTTTGTTGGACTCAGGTATCTTATCTTTCTTATCTCCATATAGTTTGAGATAGAAGAGAGGGCAGGGACCAATGTGGGGATTCTGAGAGAGCAGTCCTAGAGAAAGTCTCTAACTGAAGACAGCAGTCTCTAACATAAGAACGGGCAGGGACTACATATATTTAAAAGAGTAAAATTTGCCAGGACTTAATATTTGATTGAATTTGAATGGTGGGAGAGAAAATCAGGACAACTCTAGGGCGACTTATAGATTCCTGACACACGTGACTTGGATGGTACCAGTCACCCAGAGAGGAATGAGAAGGAGGAGGCAGTTTTGGCCCTGACCTGTGTGCAAGTTAAAACCTGAAGAATGTGTTGACAAGTCAGGACTACCTGTGTCTTCTCTATGAAATCTCTAAATCTCTTATTTCAAAATGGAGTGTTCCAAATATTGTATTTGGTAAGGTCAAGAAAATTTTCTGCCTGTTTGACTTTCTCCCGAGGGTGGTGCCCTAGATGGGTTCTTAACCTTAAGGGGCCCGCTGATCATCTTGGCAGCTGTGTGAAGTGCTCAGGCTGCCTTCTCAGAAGAATATTAAAAATGCATAAAATAAAACACATAGGATTACAAAGAAAACCAGTATACTGAAATGGAGACATTTGGGGGACTGAAGGGACTTATGATTACAACTGTATCCCTCAAAAGAATTAGGGGCAAGAGACAGAAAGAGCCCTGCCCAAAACATTCTCCTTTCTGATCCTTGAACAAATACAATGAAACAAGTCAAATCCAGTTCAAAACTATATTGTTTGGTCCCATGTTTTCTCTTAGTTGCCAAGTTGGAGGAGGGCTTTACAGCACAAAATTTAAACCTGTCACTGAGTGGTATCAAGAAAGCACTTCTCTGTTAGGGTTAGGAGGAAACTGGTTAGCAGAAACAGGCCTGTGCAGCTCCTCAAGGGTCGAGGATTGAAGGAAAGGAAAACCCCACCCTGAATTCTCTAATATTTCCCCATGACAGTGGAACCTGACATCTCAGAGGCAGCTGTGTCTTCACTAGGAAATGGAAAGAGGTTACCCCAGACAAAAACCTGTGTGGAGAAGGGCAGGGATGGGAGGCCAGGTTGTGCTTACATGTGCTCTTTAAGAGAAGAGGAAAGAGTCTTGGTATAGCTATGTAAACTTGAAAGAAGAGCAAAGGTGAAATAATAGTTAAGACTTACAAGACAATTAAAGATATATATATATATATATATATATATATATATATATAAAAGGTCCCCAAAATATACATATATCTCGACATTTGATGTAATTTAGAGCAACGTAATGGAAAAAGATTTGCTTAGGTGACCTCTATTTACATTTAGAGGTTTAAAAAACAAATCTACTTTCTTTTTAAACTTGGAAATTCCTTATGACCCAGTCTCTAGACTCAGAACAAAGTTCACAATCAACTCCCCAAAAGGTAATAATCACGTACTCATTTTTGGAAGCAACTGAGAAAAAGTCCAGCCTTAAAATGTTGAATCATCAATATAAGTACCAAAATGTAATAGCCACACCAAAAATAAAAATAAGCCCACACGAGGCTCTTAAACTTTTCCATTACATCAAACTCTATAGATTAAAAAAAAATGCCCTTTTTTTCCCTTTTTCTTTCTTCTTCTTTTGTAACTTACAATAGGTTTGATTTTACTGCATCATTGGACTTTTATCCTGTATGGAGGCTTTCCTACCACTCTAACTTTCCCTGTGCTCTGGAGTTTGGGATGTAATCATAGGAAATGTGTAAACATATGCCCAGGCAGCAGGGAGATTTTCAATCCCAGGGTACCACGGAGTGGCTGTGTGACCTCCGACAAGACACATAACCTCTCATAGCCTTGCCTGTAAGAGGGGACAAATGACACTGACCTCAGAGGGATAGTTCAGAGTCATTGCCCAATGCCTGGAACCGAGGGATAGCTCACTGCCCTCACCAGGGTACAACCTTGTGGTCAGTTGTGCACGTCTAAGGTCACATTTACCAAACACAACAGCAAATGAGTCAAAGACCTTCTGCAACACTCACCATGGTAAGGCTGGTCACAAAGGCTTTCCTCTGAGCCTCCTTTCTTCCAGACATCGGATGAATTTGTACTTACTACGGCATATCCACTCTTCAGAGCCAACATGGACTGGGCAGCTCCAAACAGAGAGTGGCGCTCACATTTCCACCACAGACTGACAGTGGAGTTACAGCTGAACATTCTCAAGGAATCCTTGGGCTTGGTAATATCTAGGCCGAGGCATTTCTGGGACTGCAAGTGAAAGAGCCGATGCTGGGACACCCACTTCCACAACATGTCCTGGGTTTTGTCACAATCCGCTGCTACTATCCAGTCATTCAGTGGCTTGATGCACTTGCCTGTGTTTTCATTGACGATGGTGAATGGATCATTACCTGAGTCAAGACAGACAGTCAAAGAAGATATTTCAGGATTTTGAATCATGAGGCTAATGCACCTTGGACACTGCTTGCTGAAGAGAGTCTGAGCACCATGGGACCGTTCCTACCCTCCAAGCTGTAGAAGACGTAATGTACTACCAAGGTCAGGGGACAGCAGTGGCCAGAAGCAGTATGGTGGAGGGGAAGAGCCTGGGTGGGCGCTGGAGCCCATCTGCCTGGGTTCATGGTCTGCCCCTGCTACCTGTTAGCCATGTGAGCAGGGCAAGTTACTTAACTGCTGTAGCTCAGTTTCTTCCTTTGTAAAATAGTACTTTATACAGTAGATGTGAGGATAAAATGGGCTCATACATGCAAAACACTTAGAATGGAATGTATATTTGTTATGGCTATTCCATGAAATGTTTCCCCCCTTTATTTAACAAGATAAAGAAACTCCTTAGTTTTCATCTCCTTTAGACAAGTGGTCTTCAGTCAATGAAGAATATCCTGAGTCTATTCAGGACCACTTTTCTGTCTTGTTTACACTTTATCACGACATTATAAATTATTACATGACATTAATATGTCTCAGAGGACACAGGGAGACTCCTGAGGGCTGAGAGGAAACACAGGTCTGGGTCCTGTGGCCAATTCCATGGCGGCACCTCCAGGAAGGTGAAGAAAAAGCCCTTGGGAGGGGCTGATGGTAGGAGGCTTCCTGTGTGGATCACCTAGGGAGCTCAAATCTAAACTCCAGCAACCAACTGAGCCACAGGGTTCAAGACCCAGTGGGTCTGGACAGTAGAAAACTCAGAAGTAATCAGCATGAGCTGAAGACTAAAGAAAGGAACCCTCCCCAAACCTCTCCTGACAGTTTTGCATGAGCTGGGGAAGACTTCAGTAATGATAGAAACTCAAGTTCTGGGAACCTAGTGAAATGGGACCTCAGAATAAATTTTAATTGGATATTATGAAAATAAATTGTTTCTTGCACAACTAAGTTTGTGGAGTAAGAGTCACATCTGCAACAACAAACTACAACTGAACAGTCTGATCAGTGCTTTTACAAAGAAAAATATTTTGGAGTTACAGCACAGAACTTCATGTGGGTGAGAGTAAAGCCGAAATATTTCAGACAGACTTAAATAATCATTATCAATGCCACAGTAGTCAGCAAGAGGACCTACACAATTTTAGTACCCAAAAGGCACTTTCATTTTGATGCTAGTTTTACAATCACTAGTTTACTAACACTAAACACCTTTTCTAATAATGACTCACAGGCTTTCAGAGTTAAATATTTTCATACCAAAGACTTGAGAGGAACTTTAACTATGTAAATAATAACTATAAAATTAAATCCAATTCCAGTTTGAACTCGGGACAGAACTTGCTGTTTTAAATAACAGCAGCAGCACTGACAAGAGAAACAATATAAACAACAAAATCCTTTAAAACTTTAAGTTATTTCTGCTTTCAGCTCTGTATTTTAAAATATCGCACAGGGTTGCAGCTAAGTATATCTGCCATAGCAGCATCTACTCCCTCACGCTTTCTTTCTCAACATCACTCTGCCATTCTCTACTTTGTGGACACAGTTTGGGAGAATAGTAAACAAAAAAAGAAAAGGTACTTTCTTGGAAGATTATCACTTGCACTTTCTGTCATGTCCTTCTCTCATATACCAAATAGCGGCTCAGCCCCAGCGTGTACCTCTTTCCCAAACTATTCTCGCTCATATTTCCAAAATAAATTTTGTGTTCCCAGGTATCAGGAATTACTGCAGGAAAAAAAGTAGCCTGCTCTTACAGAAAAATGGGTGGCCGCCACCCTTGCTGAAAACTTCCCTTCTCATGTAGTCTTATTTTTCTCTTTCCTGGACACTCTGTTCTGTGGCCTTAACCCCAAAGAGATGAACTGGGCTAGCAGCAGCTTTGCTTACCTTTGCAGGTTGGAATTCTAGATTTTTCAAGTTGCCTTTATAGAATTCAAAGGATTAGCTATGGCTCTTAGTACAGCGGCAGAGGAATGGGTTAAGGATCCTAGATTAAAGACCTATCTCTGCTACCAGTTAGCTGGGAAACGTAGGAGAAAGTCACTTAATCTCCCCAGGGTCTTTGTATCTCCAAACGTAAAATGAAAGTAGTGGAGTATAAAATATTTAAGCCACTTTCAATTCTAACATCCTGTGGTTCCACAAGATGACAGTTTTCTTAGTCTTGCAGGTTTTATTGGTCTTTGCTACATTCACTGCATTTGTTCTTTAAAATTTTTTTTAAATTTAAGTTATTGAGGTAACATTGGTTAATAAGATTTTATAAAGTTTAAATGTATAATTCTATAATACATCATCTGTATCGTGTATTGTGTGTTCACCATCCAAAATCAAGTCTTTTTCCAGACTTCCAGCCAAGATGGGGGCATAGGTAGATACACTTTACCTCCTTGTACAACCAAGAGAAGGGCAACAACAAACTTAAAAACAAAAAATAATGAGAACTGCCAGAAAAATCAAACTGTATGGAAGTCTGACAACCAAGGGGCTAAAGAAGGAACATTCATCCAGACTGGCAGGAGGGGTGGGGAGACGGGCAGCCAGGGTGGAGAGGACGAGCGGCAAGGTCATGGCTGGAGGATCAGGCAGGTGAGGCAGTGGCTGGCGGCCAGGTGGTCCCACATTTGCATGCAAATAAACTGTGAGGAACAGCTGGGGAGTGAGAAAGGCCACACAACCCAGGGTTCCAGTGCAGGAAAAGAATGCCTCAAAACTTCTGGTTGTAAAAACTTGTGGTGGGATGTGATGGAGGGAGAAACTTCCAGCCTCAAAGGAGAGTCCGTTGGAGAGACCCACAGGGTCCTAGAACATACACAAACCCACCTACCCGCGAATCAGCACCAGAAGTCCCCAATTTGCTCATGGGTAGCGGGGGAAGTGACTGAAGGCTGGCTGAGAGCCGTGCAAGTGGCATTGCTGCCTCTCTGACCCTTCCCCCACATACAGCGTCACAACGCAGTGACCTGGGTTGCCCTGTCCTGGCAAAAACCTAAGGCTCTGCCCCTCCTAACATAAAGGCACACTGAGACAAAATAATATGGCCCAAATGAAAGAATACATCAAAGCTCCAAAAATAGAACTAAGCAATGAACAGATAGCCAACCTACCAAATGCACAGTTAAAAACACTGGGGTAATCAGGATGCTCACAGAAATGGTTGAATATGGTCGCAAAATGGAGGAAAAAGTGAAGGCTACGCAAAGTGAAATTAAAAAAAAAATATACAGGGAACCAACAGTAAAGGGAAGGAAACCTGGGCTCAAATCAATGATTGGGAGCAGAAGGAAGAGATAAACATTCAACTAGAACAGTATGAAGAAAGAAGAATTCAAAAAAATTAGGAGAGGCTTAGGAACCTCTGGGACAACTTTAAACGTCCCAATATCTGAATCATAAGGGTGCCAGAAGGAAAAGAGGAAGAGCAAGAAATTGAGAATTTACTTGAAAAAATAATGAAGGAAAACTTCCCCAATCTGGCAAAGGAAATAGACTTCCAGGAAGCTCAGAGAGTCCCAAAGAAGTTGGACCCAAGGAAGCACACACCAAGGCACATCATAATTAAGTTACCCAAGATTAACAATAAGGAGAGAATCTTAAACCAGCAAGAGCAAAGGAGACAGTACCCCATGAAGAAGTGCCCATAAGACTATCAGCTGATTTCTCAAAAGAAACTTTACAGGCAAGAAGCGGCTGGTAAGAAGTATTCAAAGTCACGAAAAGCAAGGACCTACATCCAAGATTACTCTATCCAGCAAAGCGATCATTTAGAATGGAAGGGCAGATAAAGTGCTTCCCAGATAAGTTAGAGTTAAAGGACTTCATCATCACCAAGCCCTTATTATATGAAATGTTCAAGGGACTTATCTAAGAAAAAGATTAAAAACTATGAACAGTAAAAGTATAACAAACTCACAACTATCAACAACTGAACCTAAAGAAAACAAAAACTAAAACAAACTAAGCAAACAACTAGAACAGAAACAGAATCACAGAAATGGAGCTCAGAGGGGAGGGGGATGAATGGAGGAAAAGGCACAGGGAATAGGAGGCATAAATAGTAGATACAAAATACCCAAGGGGAGGTTAAGAATAGTATAGGAAATGGAGAAGCCAAAGAACTTATATGTACCACCTACGGACATGAACTAAGTTGGGGGAATGTTGGGGAAAGAGGGGAATAAAGGGGAGAAAAAAATGGGACAACAGTAATAGCATAATCAATAAAATATATATAAATAAAAATAAAAACATTAGCTTGTGAATAAAAACATAAAAAGAGAAAAAAGGGAAGAAAATGAGAACATGAACTTTCTCAAATAGATAATATACATATATTACATAAATATGTACTATACATGCTATTAATAAAACCTCTCAATGTGTTGCCACAAGGAAACTTAGAATGTTATGATTTGACTGTCCATATGGGCTATTTCTTATTAGAATTTAATAAAGTTATATATGATAATTAAAAAAATAAAGTCTCTTTCCATCACCACGTACCCTTTTACCCTCTTCTACCTTTCCCCAACCTCCTTTCCCTCTGGTAATCGCTGTACTGCTGTCTGTGTCTGTGAGGATATTTTTATTTTTCTTAATCCCTTCACCTTTGTCACCCAGCCCCCCTCTGACAACTGTCAGTCTATTTTCTCTATGGGTCTGTTTCTATTTTGTTTGTTAATTTTGTTCATTAGATTCCACATGTAAATGAAATCATGTGGTCTATGTCTTTCTCTGACTGGCTTATTTCACTTAGCATAAAACTCTCCAGGTCTAGCCATGGTTTCACAAAAGGTAAGATTTCCTTCTTTTTTACAGCCGTGTAGTATTCCGTTATGTAAATGTACCATAGCTTTTTTATCTGCTCGTCTACTGATGGGCACTTGGGCTGCTTCCAAATCTTGGCTGTTGTGAATAATGCTGCAATGAACACAGAGGTACACAATACACATTGCTCTTGAACGAAAGTTCATAACTTCATTATGTCCTACTACTACTAGCAGCATTGTAGGTCATCCTAATCCCATCTGTACTAAGCATGTGCACTGAGGGGTCAAAGCTGCTTTATAAATACTCTTTGAAAGAGAAAGAATATATACCCTTTTCTATATGTTTTATTCCAGGACCCCTGGAGACTTGACAAGCTGTCAGAACTCTGAAAGTCCACAGGAGAAGTGTGCAGTAGCATGGAGTAGTTACGGCACTTACAGCATGGAATCGTTATGTTAAAGAGGAGTTGTCAGCTTCTTACCTAATTGCAACACTTATGTTTCTGGCTACGTGCCTCATTCTAAACCTGTCTTTTACCCTGGTATGAACATCAGTGTTTGACACCTATTCTGGTCACTTAGCATAGGTATTAATTATTAATATAATTTAAGGAAACTTGTTGTTAGCCTTCACACATAATGTATGTGTACGCATTCGTACATAATATATTAAATGGGGAGAATCTCATCTTCTTGTGATGCTTCCTCCTATCTGTCCTTACTCTTAGCAGGAGCTATTTGTCTTCCTCATCTTGTGACCCTATTGGGATGGTAGGTTGAGGCGTGGGAAGAAAAAACTGAGAAAGCGTAAAAATAATTCCTTATTTAGAAAATTCATTAAATAAGGGTAAATAAAATATTTAAGAAATATATTACATTTTGAAAAGGTAATTATAGAGCAATTTGTAAAACAGATTTGTTATTAATAGCTTTATATTGCATCTTGTTCACTTAACAACTTTATACTGGTACTAAATGGAATTTTAATGTTTACCTCCAAATATATTGGGACAAGTCTAAAAGGCAAAACTTGATAAAAAGAAGCCTTATTCCCCCTAGTAGGACCCCCCCTTTTTATATGCTTCATTTTATATAAACATTCTAGTGGTGTTTAAGAGGAAATGGCTAAGTTAGCATTATCATAAATTAAAAATTAATTTTTAGTATATCCACATCCATAAGAGTAAAACTAGCTCTTATTGTCTGATCATTAAGTAATTCCTGTCTTATGAGACGTAAACCAAAGAGTTTTGCACATTCCAAGCAGAAGCTGGACATCAACATTTTAACCACGGACAAATGGAGAAGATGATTGGGAAGGCTGGCCGGATAAAGACTGTGACATTTTTAATTTCAGGGGAACTTCTACAGCCCACACTGTTGAGAATTTTGTGGAGTCACTATCATGAGTGGCAGAGTGTACAGGTGCAGTAGGAGACAATGAGGAGTCAGGGTTTGCCAGTTCAAAAACAGGTCCTGAAGTGACAGGCGGGTCCATGGCAGTCTACTAGGAGCCAGTGGAGTCATCGAGTGCAGATGGACTGGTGTGGGCTGTTGAGAGTCTCTGACGTTCCTGAGAGATTGATTCACTTCAAGCTGTTCGCTCTCCAAGGAGGCAAATAAGTAAACTAAGCAATTGGCCTTTCCCCAAGAACACAGAGGTATTCCTGGAGCATCTGAGCAACTGAGACCACCTGCACAAACCTAGCTGCATACATGTGATGAGAAACATGCCATTACCAGCATCATGAAGCTGACAGACTGCCAAACAAGCTACCTAAATGGCTGAGGTTTCAAAATTCCAGTGCTTTCTGTAATAGGGTCACAGTCTGTTGTGAGGGTATGAGAAAGCCAACCAGAGCAGCTGCTGAGGGGAAGGAAGAATGCAGGAAACCAAGTATGAGGACCTAGAGTAGGGAGACTGGAGTTGACCCCTTGCTCTTTGTTTTGGGTTGATGAGAAAGGCCTATGATTGCACAGATTGCAAAAAATAAGGAAATCTTGAATTTTGTGGAGGAGACAAAATAACGATAAAGCTACAACAGATGGAGATGGAGTTTAGTGAATGAAAGGCTAGAGTATTTGTAGGTTACTTGCTGCAGTAAAAATTTTCTCCACGGATTGCGGGGCATGCAGGACAGAATTCTCACAGCAATACATGACTTTTGGTAGTTTCTAATGCGGAGAGTCAAAGAGGAATGGAGAACTGCAAATCAGAGCTGAGTCCTTGCTGTAGATAGAGTGATGTCACTGGCACTCTGAGAAACCTCTTCCAAGCAACCTCTGAAAAAAGCCTGACTCAGATAGTAACTTATTTTAGCTGCCATTAACACAAGAGCCACAAGCAATGTGACGTTTTCAAAAGCTTCCTTGACCATCTTTTACTTAGTCATACGTAAAAGATTACAGAAGTGCTAGGTGGGGACTGCCCGCTGATTGTACGTTGGTCTTCAGCCAAGGCAAAAAGAGAAAGTAAAAGCAAACTCAGGTCGTTGCCAAGGGTGCTGGTACGGTTGGCACTAGCTAGAGCATCAGCTAAGATCGTCATTTCTGGTCCTGCTTCCGCAGGAAGAGGCAGGAAACTGCGGGGCGGGTGATCTGCCCTCTCTGTGGGAAGACTGTGGTGATCCTTTGGAGCTGATAAGCTAAATAGAAGAAAGGATCGCTGCTCCAGGCATTGGGGGATGATATCATAAACAGTAATGGCCATGATTACTTCAGGAGACAAGGCTTAATCTGACTTCCTTTTTCACGTGCATCCGTGGGACAGTTAAGTAAGGGAATCATCACCATCGTTGGCACTGTGGGTGAAAAGCGCCCCTGGACACAGAGTGGCAATAGCGACCGAAAGGCGGAGGAGGACCGAGACAGGCGGGATGGGATGCCTGGGGTACTGAAAAGCTCTATTCGCCAAAGAAGCAAGTTAGAAGAGAGAGGATGAGTAAAGGGCGGGGTGCAGAAGAGACTTCAGCGGGCCTCCCTTCCCCGGGGCTCCTAGTCCTCTGCCCCAGAAAGTCCCTGCCTTCCCACGCCCTGCCCTACCCTCCTACCAGCCCTTCCTTCTCCCGCACCGAGGGCAAGGGAGCACCTTCTCCCTAGACCATTACTTCTGCTCACTTGTCTGGCTCCAGACACCTTATGAAAACAGAGATGTCGTGACCCAGGAGCTTAGCACTAATCCAAACCGAGGGAAGAGGGAAGTCGGCAGATCTAGCAGCATCGAGGCCCCTAGCCGGCTAGTGGGCGGACGCACTTGCGGTTACCTGCATGGCGAGAGGGCTCTGCCAGCCCGAAGCACTGAAGGAGCAGCACGAGGAGTTCCACTGCGCGGCGAGGGGTCGTCCAGAAGGTCCTCATCCTGAGCCAGCCCCCGTGGTCCAACTTGGTCCTCCGGAGCAAGCCGAGCTCAGCCCTCCGGATGCACCCAAACTGCCCCACCGGCCCCTTTGCTCTTAGGCTCCCAGGGCGCTCCAGCCACTCCCCTGACACTCTCAACCAATTAGATTATCGTGTCTTGGGTCCCGGGGCAGGGCGAGGCGGAGCCCGTGTTAGGAGGTGGGAAGATGACGCACCCGAGCTCTGCGCACCTGCGACAGGCAGGGCCCACCGGGAGGCGGGAAGTTAGCCCTCAGCCTTAGAACTGAGCCTCGCACGGACTACCCGGCTTGGGGGTCCTGAGTCCCGCCTCTTCATCAGTCAAGTCCCGGAGACAAGACACTTGCTGGGACTTCACACAGCCCGTATGGGGGTGGGTTCCATCAGTTTAGGACCTTGTTCTCTGCCCAACGCATCTCTGTCATGGATGGCTTCTTCATTGCATGGCTGGGTTGGAAAGGCACCCACATCTTCTCCTACCCCCCAAGGAGAAAATGTGCATCTTCTCGGTGCAGCTAATTAGTCAAGCCAAATAATTCAGTCCGCCTTGGCAACGTCTCACATATTTTGATAGAACAAAAAAAAGGTGAGGTAATGCACATTGCAGATGACCTGCAGGTGTTAAAGAGTTGCAAGCAAGAGCCCCTGCCATTATGGCTCAGTTGTTTGGGTGTGGTCCCACAAACCAAAATGTCGCCGGTTGGATTCCGGGTAGGGGCACGTGCCAGGCTTGAGGCTTTGGTCCCATGGGGGCACGTGTGGGAGGTAACCAGTAGATGAATCTCCCGCAAGGGTAGTTCTCTCCCTTTCTCCGTCCCTTCCCCGCTCTCTAAAATAAAAAATAAAATAAAAAGAATTAAAAGCAAGAGTTATTCGAGTGACCCTACAATACTTCCAAGCATGATTTAGGTTTTATAACCATTTGATATTTGCAAGTAAGCTCTTTTTAAAAATAATTTAATAATAACTAATAATAATCTATTAGAAACGTGGAAGTCTGCACCCAAAACAGGCAATTGTGAGAGCAGGATTTATCTTCTCCCTGTGGGAACTGCAATCATTATAAATAGGGTGACCTAAGCTGCCTGAATATGAAGGTCCTATATTTTTAAACCCCGTGTTTACTGAGCACCTGCTGTGTACTCAGGATGGCCTCCTTCCCTGCCTGGCAAGAGTGAATTCTTCCATGAAGAGGTAAACAACTATACCGTCCTTCCTGATTTCAACTGCCAAAGCTTTGCTGATGGCTTCAAACCTACCTTGGCTCTGCCCTTCCTCCAGGCTCCCACCTTTCAGTTAGGTAGATACATTAAGCACTTGCCCTCACAGGAACTGGGCCGCTCCTAGGGTAAGAGAAAAAGACAACATTCCTGCCCTCTCACCTTTACTGAGTACTAGGGAAAACTGAGAGGCACACACACTAACTCAGGGCAGAATGAATGGGAAGACTGGACAAAGCTTCAAGGAAGGCAACATCTCAGCTGGGCCTTGAAGAATGGGTAATGGGCAAGAGTTTGACCAGGCACAGCTGGTGGAACAATGTAATGCAGTGTCAGAAGATAGTAAAGTCCATTGTGGCTGCTTTGCAGGGAGTGTGTGTGTATGTGTGTGTGTGTGTGTTGACAGCAGTTGCGGTGGGGGGTTTAAGCAGAAATGACAGCAGAAAGGAGAGTTGTGGCTATTTTTTGAAGTGCCTTGAATATGATGTAAAGACTTTGACTTGATTCTCTAGGGAATGGGCAGTGGGAAGTTCTGAGTAAGACACCTTCCTACTGCTCTGCTTCCTCCGCACCCATGGCTGCTTGCCTCTCAGATCCTGCCCAGCCTGGAGTTCCTTGAGGGCAGCAGTTTCACCTTCTTTATTGTCATGCCTGAACAATGAGCACCAGGCCTGTCCCAGAGTAAGCTCTCAGTAAATATGACTTAGTTAATGAATTCTTAAAACTTCTGCCTTCGCCTAGGGGAATAGAAGCTCCTGTTAGCATTATATTGCAATAATTTCTCAATTGACCTCACTGTCCACAGTTGTTTTCCTTTCAGGCAAATGAACCCTTCTAAACACAGTTTGGAACATGGCACCTTTATTTCACTCAAATCCTTTCAATGCTACTCGCTTATAGAAGAGATTCTTAATTAAGAGTTCAGGTGAATATGAACCCCTGAAATTGTAGGTGGCTTTGTGAATGCACTTTTAAAACAATATAATGCTGCCTATGATTATTGTTTAAAATAAGAGCAAACTTTTAACTACACAAACTGGGAAAACGGGTGAGAAAGATGTCTTTCTGATAAGTGTGTTTCTGGGAAAAGGCAGGAGTGGGTGTGTGGGAGGAAGGCAAATGTTGGATCACAGCAGTGATCCAGCATGTGGTGTCACACACTGGGGACAGGGGAGTCGAGCTCGGCAGACCTCCCAGCTGGGGTGGTGGGAGATGACCTGTGGAGTCCTTGACTCATGCAGGGGTAGAGCAGGGCTCACTCCGGTAAAAGAACTGTGGGTTTGAGTCTTAGGAGGGGTTGGTGGCTGGTCCTTGACTCTCAGGACATAAGGCGGACCTCCAGCCATGGGGACACCAGGCTCTCAGTTCTCTAGCTGAGGCTGTGACTGTGTGGACTGGGCTGGTGGCATCCTTGCTTCAGAGTGGGCAGCAGACAGAGAAAACGAAGAGAGGGTGACGGTCAGGCTCCGAGTCAGTGTCTTCTTGCCCACACTGTTGCATCAAGAGCAGAGGCCCAGGTCTGGGGACAAAAGGAAAGAAATGCTACATTTCTCCCTAAAGGCTTCAAGGCAGAGGGTTGCGCTCTGAGCTCTGCCTCCTTGAGACTTGGTGTCCAAGGTCTCAAATCAGAGGGGTCCATCAAACTCACTTTTTCCTTTCTTGTGTTGGCTGTAAATCCTAGGCGCAGGGGTCAGGGTGCTTTTGGGTGGGTGGACACCTATAAAAGCTCCATCTCTGCTCAGGAGGAGCAATTTTCATGGTCACCAGGCTCCAGGAGCATCAGGGTGGCGGTGGCGGGCATTCCAAAGCCACAGCTTCATGATAATCTGATTGCTGGAAAAATACAGCCCCATGAGGGTCTGACAAGGTGGCTGGCTAGGCAAGCTTTGAGTGTCATGGCCTTTCAGACTCTGGCACAGTCCCAGCCAGGATGTGTGATGGGCAGGGGTTGGGTCTGGTCCCAGCGCTTCAGATGGGCGTAGCAGACTGGACACTGTTCCCTGTCCCAGTGGCTGTGGGCGGGCCTGGACTGTGGGAACTGGTGCACCCTGTTGAGGCGTAGCATGGGTAGTGTGGCATTGGCTGTGCTTTAGTACCTGCCCATGTAGCTTGCCCGTGATCACTGGTGTGGTGGGCAGATGGTCCAGGAACAATTGGGCTATCAGACGTTTCTGATGTTTGGAGATTGAGAGCAGGTAGGACTAGGCTGATCCTTGGCATCCAGGTACAAGAACAGCATGTGGGGTGTTGGCATATGGGGACCATCTGTGCACAGGGTCCTGCACGTGCCAGGCCAGAGACCGCCCCCCACACCAGGAGCTTAGGGAATTCCCCCTGCCCTCTGAGGCCAGAGGAACCTCCAGCTTCCCACTACTGGCCTCAGCGGCTTGGCTCTCAGCAGACGGGATTTCTGGACTTCTTTTTTAATTTATAATTTTTAATTTTTCAATTACACTTGACATACAATATTATATTAGTTTCAGGAGTGCATCCCAGTGATTAGACATTATATAATTTACCAAGGGATCATCCTGATAAATATTGTACCCATCTGATACCACACATAGTTATCAGAACACTATTGAGCATATTCCCTGTGCTGTACTTTACATCCCCAATGACTGTTCTCTAACTACTAATTTGTACTTCTTAATTGCTTCACCTTTTTTTGCCATCTCTCAAACTTCCCTCATATCTGGTAACTGTCAAAATGTTCTCTGTATCTATAAGACTGTTTCTGCTCTACTTGTTTAGTTATTTTGTTTGTTTCCTTTTAGATTCAGTTGTTGATAGATAAGTATTTATTACCACTTTATTGTTCATATTTTTTATTTCTTCTCCTCCTCCTTCTTATTTCTTTTTTTCTCCTTCTTCTACTTCAAGGAGGTCCTTTATTATTTCATGTCATTGTTGGTTTGGTGGCGACAAACTCCTTTAGCTTCTTCTTGTCTGGAAAGCTCTTTCTATATCCTTTGATTCTAAACAATAGGTTTGCTGGGTAGAGTAATCTTGTAGGTTCTTATTTTCATCACTTTGAATATTTCTTGCCACTTCCTTCTGGCCCAGAAGGTTTCTGTTGAGAAATCAGCTGACAGTTCTATAGAAGCTCCCTTGTAGATAACTAACTTTTTTTCTCTTGCTGCCTTTAAGATTCTCTTTTTGTCTTTAACCTTTTATGTTTAATTATGATATGTCTTGTCTGGGCCTCTTTTGATTCATCTTGTTTGGGACTGTGTGCTTCCTGGACTTCACGTCTGTTTCCTTTACCAGATTAGGGAAGTTTTCTGTCACAATTTTTTCAAATAGGTTTTCAATTTCTTGCTCCCTCTTTTTACTTCCAGAAACCCCATGATGTGAATATTGGTACACTTCAAGAGGCTCCCAGAGGCTCCTTACACTATCCTCATTTTTTTATTCTTTTCTCTTTTTGTTATTCTAATTGGCTGTTTTCTGCTTTCTTATATTCCAACTTGCTGTTTTGATTCTTGGCTTCATCTACTCTGCTATTAACTCCCTGTATATTATTCTTCATTTCATTTTGTGTGTCCTCCATTTCTGACTGATTCTTTTTTGTGGTTTCCATGCCCTTTTTCATGTGGTTGAAGTTCTCTCTACATTCATCTGACTCTCCCCCTATGTTCATTGAGCATCTTTATAGTAGTGTTTTGAATTCTGCATCTAGTAGATTGCTTGTCTCCATTTTATTTAGTTCGTTTTCTAGAGCTTTGTTCTTTTCTTTCATTTGGGGCATGTTTCTTTGTCTCCTCATTTTGGCAGCTCTCTGTGTTTGTTTTCAGTAGAAATACTACATCTTCTGGGCTTGGTAGAATGGCC